TGATTATCATTGACATACATTCTAAATGGCTAGAAATGTATACCTTAAAGTCAACAAATTCCTTTCAGACAATTGAATGTTTGACAGACTGTTTTTCAAGATACGGACTGCCTTTAGTAGTAGTGAGTGACAATGGTCCTCAGTTCACATCGGGGGAATTTGAAACTTTTATAAGGAATAATGGAATTAAACACAAAACGTGTGCTCCATTTAAACCAGCAAGTAACGGGCAAGCAGAGCGGTACGTTTACACCGTTAAACAAAGCATTACGTGCAATGCAAGGTTATCCAGGAAATATTAAGCAAAAACTTGCCATATTCCTCATGAATTATAGAAAGGCACCGAACATGACAACCTTGTTAAGTCCAGCAATGTTATTCTTAAAAAGAGAAATTAGAACTCGAATTGATTTAGTTGTTGTTCCAAATCTTATACGAAGAGTGGAAGAACGTATCCGAAGGAATACTTACGATTTCAGACAGAAATTTTGAGATCGGAGAAAAGGTTGCCATTCGGGATTATAGATCGGCAAATTCTCGATGGAAAATTGGCAGAGTGACAAATAAGGATGGAGCGCTGCATTATACCACTGACGTTCAAGGAACTTTACTGCGCTGGCACGTCGATCAGATCAGATCGGTAGGGAGCAAGGTTCCGTCTGCACTGATAATCTATGAACCTTGTATGGCTGCTGCTTCAAATGGCAACGTGAAGCCACAGGCTCCGGACTAAGGAGGTTAGAATAGAAGGAGGGAGGGTTCGCAGTTTCCTCCACTATCGGGGAATGAAACTCCACGGAACAAGCGGCGTCCATGTTTGTTACTTCAAAACATTGCAATACGGTAGTGAAACGTACGCGTTTGTAAGCTGTTCTATGCATGAATTTTCCAGTAAAAATATGTTAAATTTATAATGAAATGCTTCGCTATTGTTAGTTCTTTTGTTTTAAAGTTATAAAGGTGATATCTGTAATTTACTAAGTACAGAAAATCATTTAAGAAATATTTCGAAATCTAAATGCATGTGCATAACATTAAAGCCTTTACAAATTATGTTTCTGCATAATTTCAAGAATTTGTTTAGGTTTTTATTAGCAACTCTCTGGTATACTTTCCAATTGTTTCTTTTAAGAAGTGATATTTCTGATTTATTCGCAATATTATTATAATTTATTAAAGAATCATTTTTACCTGAAATTAATAGCAGATAATTATCTAAAAAAAATGGTAACATGTTGCTTTTTTTTTTAAATGAAAGTTTTAAATAGATTCTTTTCACAATCAACAACCTTATATCAACAAGAAAATAAATCTTAATAAAATAAAACAGATTTATGTGAATTCAATGATTTCAGTTTATGCGCGTTTCATATTTATAATCTCAAAGAATTACCTTGAATTAAACTGAATTACAGAAATATACCTTAATAAATTTTTGGATATATCTTTCACATGTTCAATTGTGGTAAATATTTTACTTACGTTTATCGCTATACTGCTCAGAAATTTGTCAGCTTATGCAAAAACATTTTAACAACAGAACAGTTTATCTTGATCAAATGCACAAATTATATTCGTAACAGTTCACAGAACTTAAGAATGAATAATAATTAATACATAAGGAAAAGCGTTGCTTTATTTAACACCTTTATAATTCATAAAATAGCAACAATTAATTTCTTACTTTTCATGAAAATTATAAAACGAATTATCTAAGCGTTCAAATTATACAGCAAGCATATAATCCTAGCATATATCATTGTATGTTTAAGGAACGAAGATACCAGCTGTACGCAAAAGCATTAAATGTATTGTATTTAACATGTTTCGATTATTATTAAGTCTTTTTTGTCACATCTGGAAAGAAATCAACATGACATTGTGACATTTTTTTAACATATTTATGAAATTACATAAAAAAAAAAAAAAAAATACTTACGAGTGAACAGTAATCCCAGAAATATTTTTCGAAAATCTATTTGTGCATCCATATGCAATATAAGCAGACATGCTTCAAAAAGAAAAGAAAAAAAAAAAAAAAAAATGTTACAATTACAGACTTCCTTGCACAAGTCACAGTGATAACAGTAACATGGCCGCCAAGCTTCACCGTTTGAGTTGAACCTTCCCTCCTTCTATTCTAACCTCCTTGCTCCGGACAAGGACATTGAACAAAGAAGTGAAGCTGTGCAAACTTCAGCCGGACTTGAAACATCGTCAGTTCCAAGGGAAACTGATCCAGTCCTTCCAGTGGATCCTGATAAAGAGTTGCAGCAACCTCCAGCCTGAACTTAGACGATCTTTGCACATCTGCAAAGCTCCTCAGAGATTAAATCTCTAAATAAGTGGGGAGGGATGTAGCATTGGATTTTGATGAGTATCAGTACTCATATACCTGAGAACCTCTGTGAACAAGAGTAGAGGAGAATGTAATGTAACTGCGTAAATAGCACATCACTGCTGTCGTATTTATGAGTTACAAATAAATGTTTGTGCCGTGAACTAGTCTGTTTTGGTTGCGTCATGCACTTCATTGAACCCACACCGCTAGACACAACAGACGCATTACCAAATTTTGCAAAAATCTAACCATTACTTTTACGTCTATCAAGTTTATTTTCACATGCATATATTTCGCTTAGCTGGCAAATTAGCCCGCTACGCAGCACTGTCCGATATCGGACCGCTCATAATGTGTTAACATTGAGGAGCTAAAATTTTGAGAGCTAATTTTTTATAAACTACTCGTGCGATTTATACAAAACTTAACAGTTTGGCATAATTTGAGTCGTAGAATCGAAATATGGAGAAAAAATTGGCATGTCATTTCAGAAAATATCCGATTTTATGTTAGAACCCCTATAGTAGAACAATGCTATGTAATTAAGACACAATAACACGCCGAATAAATACTCAGAAGTCAAACAACAAAAATCAGCGTTATACCTACAAAATGCTATGTATATAGATCTAGTACACATCCTAAGTCCGGCTTTCGAGACATGAAAAGCACAATTTGAATTTCGTTAATCGGTGCAGTAGAACGAGAGATATAGAACTGTCCCCCCCTTTTTTTGCACAGTGTACATATGTATAGATATAGACATCATGGAAAAAATCTCTTCTGAATCCATTTTACAATCCATTGCGGGAAAAAGAGTCCTTAATTTTGTCCATACATACAGATGTCAAGCAAAACCATTGTTGAAATGGATATTTTCATTGAAATATGATACCCGAAATATTTTGTGATTACAATACTTCCTGTACTTCGTATGAAGCAAGTAAAAAAATGAAGCAAAAGTAATAAATCACACCTGAGTCAAGCCTAAAATTAAATGACGTATTAAGATCTCAAAGTAAATCATATTACTATAGATAGGGTTACATTCGCAAAAATGAAAAGGTACGGTTGGAATTTCTCAGTAGTAAAGATTCCATTCTAAATATATTTCTCAAATTTAGAAGCTTTAAACTTTATGAATCTTACAGATGAAGTTTTCGGTTGCAAACTACCTCTGGAATATACTAGCTTACAGATACATATATGGAGACTAAAATTTCAAAAACAAATTTTTGTTGTGGATCAGTAAAGGATTAAACTCACAAAAATGAAAAGGAATATTTTCTTAAAATAAATATAAAATTTTCACTTGATAAAGTAATTAGTAAAATATAGTTGCTTTAGTGTCGTTAAGAGACATAATCAAGTCTGTAGATTTATTTGATGCATTAAAAACGACGATGAAAAGGTTTTCCTTATCTATGAAAAATTTATCAATCATAACCGATGGAACCTCTGCCATGGTTGATAAAAATGGGACTCGTTAAAATGGTTAATAAAGAAACCGTCGCTGCCGGCAACATGATCTTAATGGCATATCATTGTATTGTACATCAGGGCAATTTATGTGGAAAAATTTTAAAAATGGAAAGTGTATTAAGCACTGTTATAAAAACCATTAACTTTATAAGAGCAAAAGGACTTAATCATAGACAATTTCAAGATTTTATCAAGGTAATGGGCACCGAATTTGCAAATGTTATTTATTATACATAAGTGAGGTGGCTCAGTAATAATGCTCAAAAGATTTTACGATTTAAGGACTGAAATAAAAATATTTATGGAAACAAAAGGGAAACCTGTGATTGAATTTGAAGCCGAAGACTGGGTTTTAGATTTAGCTTTCTAGTAGAGTTAACAGAACATTTGAATGATTTAAATTTGAGATTCCAAGGAAAAAAAATCAACTTATTAATAATATGCTCCAAACAATAACAGCGTTTGAAAGAAAGTTAAAATTTTGGTACAATGAAATAAAAGTAAAAGATTTGACATATTTCAGTACTTTGGCTGCACATAAACCTGCGAGTTGCACAAAATATGTAAAATATGCTGCATTAATTTTTGCTTTACTTCAAGAGTTTGAAAGTATATTTTCGAAAAAATGAAGAGTATTTCAAAATATTTTCTACTCCATTTTCTCTGGAAATAAGTAAATTACCTTCAAACCTTCAAATAAAATTCATTGAACTGCAAAGTAACATTCAACGGAAAGAAAAATTTGAAAATGTTTCTTTAGTGGAGTTTTATAAAGAATACCTATCCTGCGATAAATACCATAATTTTTACAATCATGCTTTATTAATGTCTTCAGCTTTTGGCAGTACCTATATTTGTGAACAATCATTTTCAAGAATGAAGCAGTGTGGCCCCACAAATTTGTTTTTTCTTTGCAATGCAGCTCTCAAATGGTCATAGTTTAGACATTCCTGAGTTATATAATAGTACTTATATATATATATAATACACACATATATATATATATTACTGTATCATTTATAATAATAACAACAGCATGCATGCTTATAAAGAAATATATTGAAATATTAACCAAAGATATAATTTAGTTCAATAAAAGTTATAAAAAAACAATATAAACATTCAGAAATGACTAGTTTGGTATCTTCAAATTAACATTTTTTTTTGTATATTTTACCTTCGTATGAATCTCAGAATTCATAGCAGACAAGGATTTATTTTTCACACCACTGAAGTGTCGAGTGATATATTCATCATGTGGACTACTTATCTGATGCAAATCTATTACCTGAAATACATGAAAAACTAATAATTTCATTCACATGAATTATATGAATAGCTGGCATAAAATGATACAATGTACAATGATACAATGTACAATGTTTATTCATATTATTTTACACACTCTATGCCAGCTTCTATTTTTGAGAAAGGCAGAGTTACAAAGAATGTTTCTATTTCATAGTTTTCCTTATCTAGCCTTATGTTTTTTTTTTTAAACAGAATTTGAACATTTTCATTACAAAGAGAGATGACTACTGTATATATATTCTACTTTTAATTGACTTTAATTATTCTAGTCTTTACTAGCTAATTTATCAAAATTCCACTTGTTTAAGTTTCTTTTTAGTAACTCACAACATTTAGTTTTGAATTTTCCTTTTACCCTTGCCTACATCGATGATGAAACACGAATTGAATAAATAATTGAAGAGTTAGGTTTGGAGGCAACTTCCCCTTGATTAGTTTGTCTCCTGCCTGCTCAACAATTATTCACAATATGCATTTTTATAAATTTTTCGTATTAAAAATTTTATTGGAATTATATATTATATATTTATTATATTTCATAGATTTGATACTTGCACTAGATTTACATATACTCTCAGAATTTAAATGATATTGTGGATTAGTTTGCAGCAATAATTAATCATTTATTTGTAATTCAATTTAAAATTTAATTAACTTTAAATTTGCTTTTTACAAATAGAGAATGTTTGTTAAATTCAAATATATATATAAAAAGAACAGTTAATATGCACAAGCAAAGAGGTATAGACTACATTAAAGAAGCTCTACCTATGTAAAGCAAAATTATAAGTAAAAGCACAGACAGAATTACAGAAATCAGTAGACTTGAAGAGCTTGAGATAAACTAACACAATGATTACTCCACTAAGTCTAAATCTAATTCAAGAGAAATGATTAAATATTCATGAGTATATGAAAGAAAATATCATTAAAATTTAACCATAATAACTTTACAGTGATAATGGTTGGTTTTACAGTTTCACCTAACTTATCATGATACATTGTACATTCACAATTCACATAAATTTACCAAGTATCAAAATAAGCAAAGAGGCAGTAAAGTTGCTGATGAGTTCTGAAACACTTACCATTTATTAGAGCTTGGAATCATTACTTACCACAGATATTCAAAAGGAGTGAAATTAAACCCCAGCAAAAAAGCAATCAAACAAGATATACAAAATGGTCATTTAAAAAAAAAAAAAAAAAAAAAAAAAAAAAAAAAAAAAAAATTAAATATGTGGACCTTTAGCAGCCTATCCATTCAACCAAATGAAATGAAATTTCAGATATTATTATTTGAAGGTATGTGCTTGAGATTGTGACAATTTAAAACAATAGAGTTCTCATGGTTATGGTGAAATTACAAAATTTTTGAATGGTAACATCGAATTTTTTTCTGCACAAATTGATTAGCGCATTGGATGATCATAAATGGCCTTGGAACAATATACATATGATAAAAATTGCTGGCATAAAATATTTGCAAAGAACAGCATTGTAAAGGACCAATGAAAACACAAAAGAAGTGAGGGGGGAAAACTTTTTATTATAATTATTATTCTTTTATTGGACTTCTCTCAAACATCACATTTAGGAGCTGATGGGAAGGTTGCTCTCATTATCACAGAATGTCAGATATTAACTCACAGGTGCAGAGCATTTGACTGGAAATCCAACGTACATTAACTTTATGAATCAATGCTAAGTTGGGTAGCAGTTTGCATGCAGGCCAGCAGTTCAGTGCCTTTGTGATATGGTCATATATCATAACTCGCTCTCTTGAATAAAGAATCCAGTTTTTCTTAAACAGTAATCATGTATATCACATCTACCAATTTTAATCTTAACTCTTTGACAATTGCAAAATTAAGCAAATCTTTCTTCCCCAATATGTGCAGTATCTGCCATTCCTAAATTTGTAATGCAAGCTGTGTTTATTTGTGGCCACAGGTGCATAACTCAATTGCGAGCTGAACTTTTTGATGATCATCAAAAGGTTTATTCAATAACTAACTTCTTGCTGTATCAACTTTCATGTCTTCATATATTTTTTATTTAAAAAACATCAGTTTATTTTCCCGATAAAACTACAGATTGGCAAAATTATACACACTTTTTTTTATTAGAAATGTATTTAATGTCAATGATGCAGTGACTGCAGAGATTTGTATTGACCTTTTAACAACACATATATAACGATTTCAGGTATATAATTATTATAAGGAAAAAAAAACAAGAAAGAAAAGTCTAGAACTTGTATAACATTTTATTTAATATTACATAAATGAATAGAAAAATCACTGACTGACAAAAATGGTGCAACATATATATGCATCGATATATTTCTAATACTAGAAGATCTTTCCAGAAGAATATTTCACTAACTCTGCAAAAATGTCATCACATGCAATTGACAATATCAGCAAAAACGTTATTGTTTTTCTCATATTATGCTATTAATCATGTAAAAGTATATTTTACATTTTACAAAACTGAACATGCTACATACATAGATGATACATACACATGCTTCGACTCAAACAATTAAGATGCACACATTTGCATAAAATTATTAGAAATTAAGACAATACTGCTAAAATGTTTTAGATGTATTCAATACTGTACCCCGCAACTTTGGGTTGTACATAATTATATTGTAAAATACAGTTTCAAATACACTTTAAATTTATTGTTTTAAAATTATAAAATAATACAAAATTGTCAAAATAAATTGCAATGATTTAAATATTACACATGAACATTATTACTACAGAAGATATCTAGTTTGCATATCTCTGTATTTATTTCCATTAATCGTTCTTCATTTAATTTTTGACATTTTTTTAACACTGTTAATTTGAACGGACACAGCATGTATAAAATGTATATTATATACCACACTCGTGTATATATGTATATGTGTGTGTATACACACACACATACATATTTATTCATATTAGTTAATATTACAGTTATTTAAATTTTGAATTTTATAAAATGCAAAGTATATTTTCTTTCAAGTTGTGCTGGGGCAGGTTATACCATGACGAATGCTTTATTAAAATTTCTTAATTTTTTTTTCAAATTTCATTTTTAATATTTATAAAAACATATTGTTCAATTGATTACTTTTGTTTTGAATTAAAAAGAGAATACTTTCATTTCATTATTTTTCATAGGAAATAATTCAGAAACGATAGCTTTTGATAATTTTGTCAGCTTTCCGGATTACCAACTTTTGTTAATTATTTTTGTACTAATTTATTTGTGGTTCAGGTTTGATTTTTAATTTTTTGTTTCAAACTATTTTTAATTTATAACTTCTGTTAGATAGACTATCACTTTCATATTCTGTATACTTTAATGTTTTTTAAAAAAACTTATATAGTGTTTTGATAGTAAGCCTTTTTGGAGGATTTTGTAAGGGAAGTGTGCTCATTAACATGTTACCTATGGAGAAAACCATGAATATATACATATAGGGATTTAACGAAAGTTTCTCATCACCACAAATATCGTCTATGCAAACAGTTTGTGTTAGCATATTTAATTACACTTTGTAAAATGATTTTTGGCATTTGAAAGAAAGAGACTTTCCTTTAGAACACTGTGTTGTGAAATTTGTAAAAAAATAATGTTATTCTTAAGTACAAGGTGTCTGAAATGGAATTATCATGCTACCAGATTATAACCATCATTTACTTCCAGTTCTGTTGCAAATTGCAAAGTCAGATACAGAATGCCACCAAATCATGTGTACAGTTTTAGGTACAAATGTTGTATCATGACACTGTGAAGATTTAGTATGGAAAGTTCAAACACAAGGACTGTGACATTTAAGAAGCAGAACGCTCTGGCCGGCCTACTGATGTTGAGGTCCACCTGCAAGAACTTCAGGAAGAAAATCAGTATGCAACCACATAAGAGTTTGTTAACCCCTTAACTGCCGCGGGCGTATATATACGCCTTGCTCAGCCGAAGCGTTAACTGCCCCCCAGATGTGCAGCCGATGCGTTAACTTTGCGAATAATTTTAGGTGTAGCAGCGCAAAGCAAACGATAGCAGTTTGGAAGGCGTTATTACGCCTGGGCAGTTACGCCTCGGAGCAGGCGTATATATACGCCCGCGGCAGTTAAGGGGTTAAGGAGTTAGACGTTACTGCCAAGTCCATTAGTCGCACTATGGACTGCATAAACTTGTTCAATTGCTGGGTGCTGCATGAGCTGAGTGAAGAAGGTTAGGACAGACGTGTTTGGGCCTGTACTAATCTGCTTCAATGCAAAGACAAAATTATGGACCGGATCATCACTTGTAACGGAAAGTGGATTTACTTTAACAACACAGGCCTAAAGGGGGTTAGTGAGCACATGGTGAGCTCATTAGCAGCATTGCAAAGTGTGATTTGATTAACAAAAAGCTCATGCTTTGTTTCTGGTGGGATTGCTGTGGTATTATCCACAAAGAGTATCTGGAAAAAAGGTAAAACCCTTGACAGTAAGGTGTACAGAAAGATGTTAGTTCATATTGATGCTGCTATCAAGGAAAAATGTTGAACTGAATTCTAGGGCAAAAAGGTAATGTTCCATCAAGATAATGTAAGACCACATGTGTCTACAATTTGACCGGCTGGTCTCTGTACGAACTCGAATGTGATCTTTTGTCACACCTACAATATAGCCCTGACATTGCTCCTCTGGACTTCTACCTTCTTTCACACCTGCAGCTACATCTTGCTGGTGCTATCTTCCATTCAGCACAAGATGTAAGAAATGAGGTTGATCTGTTTCTGGAACTCATGGCCACCAAGTTTCTGGGCCGAAGGCTTTGAAAAACTATTAAAATGTTGGCAGAAAAATCATAGATTTGGGTGGTGATTACTACCCACACTAAAGGTACTGCTTTCATGTTTTTTCTTCTAACTTTATTAAGAAAGTTTTTCAGTGGAATTCTTTTGTTACAACCATATTATATATATATATATATATATATTAAAGAGTAAGAATTATTACAAAAGTATTTTTTGTAATTTCCTCGTGTATTTTGGCACGAGGAATATAAACATATTTGATTTATATTTACTTACTTTCCACTATTGCGCAAGTAGTAAATACTCGTTTTTGCACCAAGTGAATTTAAGATCATATTATTATATATACATATATATATATATGTGTGTTTATAAAGTAAAAAAAAATATGTAAATCAAAATTCTAATTAAAATTTGCAATAGCCCTTTAACTCTTCATTTTAATTTTCCTTTTCCATTTCAAAAATAGTAATGGCTTGTAATAACCTTCTCTGGATTATGTTATTTCCAGATTAATCCCTGACATATGACTTTTACACAACATGGTGACTTGAATGTGAAATTCAACCACCCAATAATGATTTTAGAAAGTTACTTACTAACCAATCAGAATTATTTTGAAATGGGAACTATTTCATTCTGATCTAAGATTTTTCTCTTGAATGCATCACACTTTTTGCTTTCTGCTTTTTGACCTGTCTAAGCTGCTGCTACACTGCTCTCGTTTTACCACAAGGACATAAAAAATATAAATGTTCTGGAACAGGCACAATTAGTGTGCTAAGTTATATAAGGCCAAAAATGTTAATTTAAAAAAAAAAAAAAAAAAAAAAAAAAAAAAAATACTATTTAAATTTTCCACAACTGCTTCTTATTGTATCTACACGACTTCAAGTATTTTTAAGTATGGATCAACATCTACACAGTTAATGTTTCTATATTTCTGCCAATCATGCACATAACAATTCTTCAAGCAACTATTCTCACAGCAGTTCTTCAGTCAAACAACTTTGTGATTTTCATATGCATTTTTTTATTGTATTCCAAGTTTTAATGGTTTCTAGAGAAAAATTGTAATATTTTTGTCTTATACTTAATTTTAAACCACATGCTTCTGAAATTTGCCTGAAGCAGAAGAAATCGAGGTAAAATTTTTCTGCAGTAATACAGTATTTTGTTGCAATATTGCTAGGGAATAATTATTTGAATTTATTGTTAAAGTGACTGCCCCCAAATTTCCATCAGAATAGAAGAAACAGAAACTGGCTTGTAGGCTGGTTGATTGATTTTCCATTAGAATGCAAAATAATGCATATAATAATTAATATTTTACAATTATAAGTCATCATTTGCTAAATTATGCAACATGATTGTGCTAATAATGAAGTAATGAATTAAAAGTTATTCATTCTCAGCTCATAAATTTATCAACTTTAATTTCATATGATCAACTAACACTGCTGTAATGAGTGGTGCATTATTTTACTTGTTTGACACTAACATCAAAGCATGTCCACAAATTTTATCATGGCCAGGATTCTGTCATTGGATTAGATCTTGAGCACCTGATAGATGATAGTATAAATTTGCTCAGTTCAATGATAATTTGTAAGGAGAATCCCCAAAGGGACAGATTTAGGGATTTCCCACTTCTCTTCTCTCTCCAACAATCTTATGAGAGGACTTTCAGCTCAACAGTATTTTAAGTACTTCTGTGTCACAAAGACACTATACATTTATAAATATTCATGCCTTTTCAAGCATTTGAATCCAGGCCTAATGCTATGGCAGTACCAGGGCATGAAAATTATGCACTTTTAACAAAACTCGAGAGAAAGTAAAAGTAAAGAAATAACTTATGCAAATAAAAAACACATTTGAATTAATCAAACTATCAGTTATTGTTCAAATCCTATTTTCTATTTTATTTTTTATTTTCATATTGCATACTGCTAACCACTTCTTATATGCATAAAAAAGGTAAAAACATATTTAATTTAGTATTTGATAAAAACTGATAAGAATAAACTTTAAAAAGATCTAAGCAAGATAAAGATCACAAAATACATCTTCGATGCCTTTAATATTTTATTATGTTGTGGACTGAAAGCAAAAGTAGAATCAGGGGACATTACATTGATAAAAACACTTTCTCAATTTCCAAAAGTGTTGTCCACTCCCATGGAATAAAGATGCATCCTTTCATTTTCATTAATATCTCTTAAGATTTAATCTCCAAAGGTATTAATTTCGTAATATGTTTTCCTCTCCCCCCTTTATGAAAGGGAATGATAAATGGTCTTAACTAGAATTTTGAAGAGTTTTGAAGAGAGAATTTTGAAGAATGGTCTTAAACTGTTTGTGCAAAAAATAAGCTGAGAAATTCTAAAAACGGGCCTTTCTTATGCAAAAGTTCACTTCCTGAATTCAGATAGTAAGTTGAAATTTATAAGAATAAAACAATAGTTTTTAACTCATACCCTAAAATTACAAAGTGTGAAATTACATGAGAGAAAAAATATGCAAGTAAACATGATATATAGCTCATTTTCATAAAATAAAATATTATAGCATATACTAAAGGAAAAACAACATTAACACAATGACAAAATTCATGCAACTGACCGCTAAATGCTTTCCATTTGGCTTTTTGGTTTCCCTCTGACGAACAGGAAGCATGACAAACATACTTCCACTAATATGAACATACTGAGGAGGTGAAAACTGATTAGGATTCCGATAAGGTATAAAACCAAATTTACATAAAATTCTTTCTTGAAGTTTTAGTAGACCTGCTTCTAAAAAAAGAAAAACAAATTGAATTTAAAATTATTTGGAAGCATTCACATTCAGTTTAATTTACTAGAGTATTCATGCACAGTAATGGCTAACTTACCATCCATACTTTGAACAGATGTATCCATAAGGCAGGATAAATCTAGAGGTATAAAAATAGGCCCTCTTAATGGATCCGAATCATCAGAAAAAGGTAAAGCAAAGGGATCACTGGGAATGGGTACCAACTGCAAACTATACAGATTAGACTTCCTAGCCCAAGTCTGGACCTATTTAAAAATATGAAAAATATATTGAACTAAATTTCAAAGAAAGCATTTATAAAAATAAAATTACACAGATAGGCAAAATTAGCAGATCATTAATGCTATAATTTATTAAACAAATATATATAATTTTGGCTAGGATAAAAACACTGCAGAACATAAAGAGCAAACAACTACACTATCGTGTCAGTTAAATATACAATACGTAATTTACATACCAGTTCAGCTGCTTTGTTTCCAGTTGCTACCATCCACTCTACTATAAATTCAAATGCTTCATATGGCCTGTAAATATTTTGATAACGTAATTGCCCCCATTCTTGTCGCCCACTTTTTGTACCCTGATCTATTTGTATGTTGCAACATTTAAACTTCAGTTCTAAAAGAGATTATAAAAGAAAGAATGGAGGAGACAGCACAAAACTTACTGCTTTAAGTTTTAAATAGAATAATATAATTATTATACATTTTTTTAAAGGAAATACAATAAAATTATAAACTGACAGCTGTAACAAGGATAAGAATAATGCAATTTTCTTGAAAAGTATGCAGAATCCTCCTCTGACTTTTTTGAGAATTATAATCAATATTGATTTAATTTTAAGTAGAAAGCACTTTACATATCAAAAAAATGCAATGATCACATCAAAACCTCTAAAACGTATTCAGTATACTTCCCACAAACTTGAACTCAATCACTGGAACATCAAAACAAACACCACATTATGCAATGCCATTAGGTTTTCAATAAAATAAATATTTTGAAGACACTTTTATGCTTCAATAAATCAACATTTATGCCATAAAAATTAGTCTTCAGTTCATTAAAATTAGCTAAATTTAATTTCAGATAAAATCTTCTTTTATATAAATCAGTTACCTGAGCAATTTGCAAGATCTTTAACATATCTAATTTTCCACGATCCTGAATTGAACCACTGGAACATTACAAATTCTACTTATTTAACTCTTGCACTCCTATTAAGTTTCAATAAAGATTTTACTTTGAAAATGTTTTTATATGCTCTATTGCATCAGTATTCTAGCTATTAAAAATTACGCATCAATTCAATACAGTTAGCTACATTTTATAATAAAAAATAAATAAATAAATAAATATAATATAATAATAAAAACTTGCAGCTCAGTTATTTGACTAATGTAATATACGAAAAAAATTCAGAAATGCAGAAATATTTTTCTTTTTACAAGAGAGTTTTATTAACTGAATTTATATAATTACTTATTTTAATTTCTGTTTTCATAAATTCCTATTCATTAGGATGATATTTACACCATTAAAAAGTAAGAAAGCAAAATATTTTTAACTGTAAAATAGTCTGTTCTACAATATTTCCTTTTTAGAATGCTTACTTGATATCTTCTCAATCCTCACAAAATTCCCAATTTAAACTTATGTAATAAAACAGTCTTTCACTTTAACTTAACTGCTTTCCCTACTGCATGTTTACTGAAGCCAAATAACTGCTATTAATTTATAACTCACACAGGCATGTGACTTGCATTATCAAGAATCTGCATACACTACACTTCTTACTTTTCATCCAACTAATAAAAATTTGGTGTAAATCTTTCATTTACACCAAATTTTTATTCAGTATCAGATGATATTGACTGACATTTATGCAGTTAAAAACTCATTAATTAATTTTAAAATTTTGCAATATGACTGCAATTTCGATTATGAGATAAACACTACATTTTTGCATGGCTTTGGAATATAGCGCACAAATGCCATCACAGAATTTTTAAGAGAAACTGGCTCACGTCACATATGGAAAAAACCATGAAAACCAACCATGCAGCCTGCCCAGTTCTTTAGATAGAACTCCTAGTATTCAGTGGTCTTAACCACTGGGCCATAGCTGGATCATACTTTTTTACATAAAATATTTATTTTCTTATTTTACTTAATGATACAACTGACATCCTAATGTATAGAAGAGTATGAAAACAAACAGCAAAATAAATAACTAAAATCTAGTCAGTACATGCTGTTAAAAGGCAGCTATTCATGAGCAGATTTCTTTTTTTCCCAAAAAGAACTTCCAAAAGGTTTAATTTGGAAAATAATGACTAAATTTAAAAGTGAACTGGAGCTCTTGGCAATGGAACTTGGATTTTTGAACAACAGAAAAAGAAAACTATGCTATTAAAATTAAGGTATGAACAATAAAAAATGTAAGGCAATTTATGTATTTTATTTCTTCTTAAAAATAATTCCTAAATTATATTTATAAAGATAATTATCATTGTATTTATAAAGCTAATTATAATTATATTTAAAAACCAATAATTTCACTTGTTTTTTCCTTATTTAACTTAATAACTGAACAATTTTGAATTGTTCCTTTTAAGTTATAAATAGTAAATATATCCTCTTTTTAAAATGCTATAACTATTTTCAGAAATTAAGAATAACACTTCTGTCATCTTACTTGAAAATAAGACCCTTTTTTCAGTCTAGGATAAATTTTAAGATATAAAAATACAGGCAAAAATGTATTTTGTCTTCAGTAACTTTGAGAAAGAGAATCTTAATTTCTCTTCTTCTCTTCTTTCAGAATCTCTTTGAAATAACATCATCATTAGTTGCTATCTAAAGACAATGGTAAAGACACATAGTTACCTATTTATTTTCATGCATAATAGATGCTATTATAATTAGCGAAGTTATACAGTATATCATTATTGCATCTCTCTCTCTCTCTCCATATCATATTTCCTTGTGCATTTTTCCTCTTTTCTTTTACTCATTTTATCACACAAAAATCAAGAGAAAATTATGCAAGCAATTTAATTTCTGAAGTTTATGGTTAGGATAAGAACATAACAAATAATGAAAAGTAGTCATGCATAAATTACATGTAACTATCACAATATTATTTCTTAAAGAAACCTATATTCCAATAAGAATACATAGTAATAGTAACTCTGCAATATCAAATAAGATAACTTCGTTTCTACTTCTCTATAACTTGAATCTTGCTCGTTCCTGTTGTTGTCCATTGCTACTCCTTAGGCTTCAAATCATTCACTGCTGCTAGAACTGCTATCTGTGTTGTCTGTTACAACTTGAGAGTCATTAACATCTTCATCACTCTGTCTTCCAACGTGCAATGAACATGAGAAACATTGAAAGCATTAGATATTTCCATTTTCTTGAAGCTCTTCACTATCATTAAACCCTAAATGGGATTTTGGAATACTTCCCGCTTTCAAATCATCATTCTCACTAGACTGAATAGCCTCTGTTCTCTGTCATTTGATGAATCTTTCAGAGCCCACCATCTCCCATTGTAAATTGAATGCGGCTTTTTTTTCAAATGCGGACACAATTTTTTTTTTTTTTTTTTAATGGCACCTAAACGGCATAGAAGCTATACTGCTGGTTTTAAGCTTAATGCAATTTCCCATGCTGAACAAACTGGAAATACAGAAGCAGCTCGAGAGTTTCAAGTGAAAAAGAAGAACTTAAAAATATGACACAACAGAAATGAGTCAAAAGAAAAAGATGGGCAAATATAGAGGATGACATTTCAAACTTGATAAGGAAGCAAAGAGGGAAAAGAATGGCAACTTCAACTGTAAAAATTTGCTTACAAGCAAAATTTATGGTGAACTAAATGAACATGAATGACTTCAAAGGAGGGCCTTGCTGGTGTATCAGATTTATGAAAGGAAAAAAATATTTTTGTGCTTACTAGAAGAGTCAGACAACAATTACCAATGGATTGGCAGTATAAAAGAAATCTTTTTACTTCCTTGTATGAAGTAAAAAGAAGTATAGTAATCGCGAAAAGTTTCAGGCAGCATATTTAAATGAAAATATCCATTTTGACTGCTATCGGATTCAATTTAATGATGTTTTTGCGTGATATCTGTACGTAAGGACAGACTAAAATACTCTTTTCCCCCAAAAAAATTATAAAACTGCTTTAAAATGAATTCTGAAGTGAATTTTTCGTGGCGTCTGTACGTACGTCTGTATTTCGCATAACTCAAAAACGAGTAGCCTCAGAATGTTGAAATTTTGTATATAGGACTGCTATAACATGTAGATGTGCCCCTCGTATTTTGGTTGCAATCAGCCGCACAAAACATATATAAATATATTTATATATATATATCCACTCTGTTACCTGGATCAGTGATCTCAGTTTCTTTACTCTTATATGTTAGTAAATTGTACATTTTTTGCTTTAAAAATGATTGAATAATGTTGTTCTTATCTTCTGGTTAAGGTTTTTATGCCTTTAGTAAATCTCCATGGAATATTTTTAGAATTATCAACAATTTTAAAGTTGTTTAAGTGCTGCCAAGCTTAATAATTTTTTTGATGGCAACCATTGCTTGTTTACGTTTGAAACAGCAGGATAGTGGATTTGTTGCCAATCTAGAGAAACTTAGCTTCGCAACAACAAAGATAACGCCTTCATTTATTATTGCGAATTAAATCATGCTTAATCCTGTCTGTAATTTTTTCGAGGAAATAAGTTTCAAGATTTACTTCGTAATTTTTAATACACATATTTTGAGTTTTTATGTATTTTTGCCCTGTCGCGAAGTGAGAACTGAGTTAATTAAATGAGAAATATTCAATCGTCTGTGAAAAACTGTTTCTTTTTAGTTTTGTTTGCTTAATTTCTTTTATACATTGTTCTAGCTTTATTATAGTATTTGAATAGAACATGTGGCAACGATTAGATAATTCTTTAAATGATATAAATTTTGTGCATTCTGAGTTATAATATGAACGAAATATAATACTGTTAAGTGAACCTAGTGCCAGAGTGTCACTATGGTAAACAAATAGAGTGAATGTTAAAGAATACATTTATTCTATTGTGGTTTATGCGCTGTTGGCGAAGTAGATTTAATTCAATCCAATACGTTTAAATGAAATGTAAGACAAAATGTGTATAATTTAGTATTCCTTACAAGAAAGTCATATGGTGTACACATCAGACTTTTTAAAATATGTGATAGATATTATCGACAAGAAAAAACTTCTTCCATCACATATAATAAATATGGATGAAATGCCATTAGCTTCTAACTCTCCTGCAAACAGAACTGTAGATGAAACTGGTGCAAAACTTCTATCCATGCCTATGACGGGGCATGAAAGAACTTCATTTATATGTGTTAACTTGTGCTGCAAACAATGACAAACTAAAGCCGGTGATTATTTTTAAAAGGAAAACTATTTTGAAGGGAGATTTTCCTAATGATGTAATTATTTTTGCAAATGAGAATGAATGGATGTGCGAAACAATCATGCATAAGTGGCTAAAAAATGTTTGATAGTGTCGTAAGGGACCTTTTTTTTGCACCAAAAAAATTGTTGATAACGTATTCCATGCATTTTTATTTATGAGTCAGTGAAAACCAGATTTCAAAAATTGTCTACGACTTTAGCAATAATTCCTGTTGGCTTGACAGAAATCTTACAGCTATTAGATTTGTCAGGTAATATATCCTTCAAAGCTGAAGTCCAAAAGTTATGGGTGTGTTGGGTGAGTGAAGGATTACATACGTATACCAAAAGCGGCACAATGTGTAGCTGCTTTTGGTATGCGGCTTATGAAGCGGCACCTTATGAAGAAGTTGTAAAGTGGGTAAAAAATGCATGGAAATCAGTGAAAACATTGTCAACAACAACAGGGTTCAAAGAAACTGAAATTATACCCCCAGATAAAGAGAATGTAAACCAAGATGATGTAACAAGGATGAATGTAACAACTTGGAAGACTTGGACTATTTAGATCAGGATTTGCTACATCTTTTTAATTCGGATAGGGAAGAATCAGATTTTGAAGGCTTCATATGATGAACAGTTTGTGTAATTCTTTTTCTTATTAAAGCAAAATTAAATTTTCTTCTGTCATTCAAATTTAATATCTCGTTATTGCAATATTTTTTATAACATAGTATGAGTATTAATAATACAGACTTCTTTAATGGATAAATATAAGGATATTCATGAGCATAAGTATATTTTCGACGTTTTTTACCTATAATTTATTTCTGAGTTATGGTTTCATTTCATGCATTTTTCTTAACTGATATGCCATGTATCAGGTTTGAGTCTATAATGTTCCTGACGATGTCATGCACGATTTAACTTATTGCGGTGTTTCTGTGCAATTTTAGTTCTTTTCCCAGCCATTTCCCTCGAGTGTGTTGTTTACACTAATGCGGCCGTACTCTGGAAATTACAGTAGTTCAAATTGCGACTGACAGATGGCCCTTTTCATGCAATGTAGAGAGAATGGGGCATTTAAAAAAGCCAGCAGTCATTGCCATAAAAATCATTCTTCACCATGTCTTTAGAGGAGAAAGATCGAGCTTTACTGACCAAATTGTTTTATCAGAATGACAGTAATTTTTTAACTCCACTGCATGAATATTAACTCTTGAAAGCAAAAACCCACTGCAAGAATACTAACGCTTTTGAAAAGGGCCTATGTTGAGGCAGGGTTTGAAAAACAAGACTGTTTAAGTTGAAGACTGGGGAGTTGTGTAGACTGCAGAGAAGAGAATGGAAACAAATTTCAAATGAAACTATGGAAGCAGTTGCTCTTACCATGGTAGAAAGAATGCCTGATTCCTAATATTCTTCAACAAATGTTTGAACAGTGTCACATGATTTGTCTCTCTTCTGGTCGACAGAAAGAAAGGTGTTCTGACCCATTGCAAAATGGTATCCAAAGAGGATCAAAGTTCTGGAACAGCTGTATCCTGCAGACATGGACAAACATACTGATTTTGCTAGCCTTCGTTCAGCCAAAACAGTCACTGGCAATGCTTGGCCATACACTGTCAATGAGTTTTGTGGTTGGACGAGTTACATTTTACTCTAGAAGAAGCAGTTAATATTCAAAACTATTGCATATGAGATAGAGAAAGTTCTAATGTTATGCATGAACAGTTTTTATATCCTAATTACATTATTGTAGGAAGTGGTTTTACTGCTGATTTCATTCTTGGTCCTTTTTTCTCTGAGAAGAACAAAGTCCTCAAAGGTGTTTCATCACAGATGTTCATTATTGCAAACTTCTTCATGGCAAGCCCTTTCTGCCTTACAAGAACAATATTTAGGGACTGCTATCTTCATGCAAGCTGATGGACCAACTCACATTGCCCGACCAGTGAAGGCACTGCTTCATGTCTTTTTTAGAGATGATCAGGTAGTTTCGAGAAGTTTTCTGACTGCCCAGCCTCCTTGTTCTCCGGATTTGAAGCCCTGCAACTTCTGCTGACGGGTATTCTTAAAAGATTGTGCCTATGGAGGGAGCAGACGGACTATGCCTGCATTGAAAGCTAACAAAACACATCATGTTGCAGCAACTGATCATGAAACCCTTCATGTTACTGTTGAATGCACTATACACACTCTGAACGTGAGACTGACACAAATGTAATGCATACTAAACCCACTCTGATTGTGCGACTGCCACAAATGTAATGCACACTGAACAAATACTATGATTAAATAAAGTTTCATGTTTTTAATTTACATTTTTTGTTCTGCATGTGACCCCCCTCTGGTGATCGAAATTTGGACTACTATTTATTATTGCAGTTTTCTTTTCCTCATGGTCCACACAGTGTAAATACCAAGTTTCAATGATATTCTACCAAAATGAGCTCTGCATAGGTCTAAACAGGGAAACATTTTATTATAACTATCCTCACTCTTTTGTGCTCTCTCTCTATATATAAAGGGTATGTATGTATATATAGTACAATATTTACCTATATGGTTTATTTAATATTTAAACAAAGTTATTATTCTACATAGTATAACTAAGCTCCTTTCCTTATTATGCAGTTTCAAAATGCAACACAGCGCAATCACAAACCACAACAAAGAATTACATATAGTAACTGAAACACTTTGAAACTATCCAAAATATTGTCGTAGATAATACAGTTAACAAACGTGAAAAAACAAAAATAAATTATTAGTTTATGAATGTAATGATAATTAACTCTGCAAGAATAATTTAAGGAGTATTCTTTAAGAAGAAATAAAATGGACAAATTATCTTAAACATTTATTGTTTATAACTTAATTCTAGTAATAGAGTTTCCATTCACTATCTCATTTAGTTTCAAAAAGGCTCAACATTGATAAATGGATAAAAATAAAAATAAGAATGTTAAACAATGGTCTGAATCTCATCGAATGAGTTGGCTGTATGGATGTTTTCATGGTTTTCCCCCATCCTCATGTAAAACAAATATACAAGTTAATTCCCCCCCCAAAAAAAATCTTTACAGACATACTTAGACAGATAGTCCTTATGTACTTCGTCTGCATTCATTAAATTATTGATCATAATATAATTCTTATTTTACAAAATTTCACAGGAAATGGATAGAAAATGCAGAATTACACATATATACAATTCCTTTTGTTTTCATACATGAAATATAAAAATATTTGCACTATTACAGGAAATAAATTTATAAACAAAATCTACATTTTCATTTCATCAAAATTTTTTATATACATACTAGAATTTTGTTTATAAGGTGTAGACCAAATGTCTTCATCAGAGGGAAAGTTATAATTTTCAATAACAGGACACAAAGAAAATGATGGACTAAGTTCCACTTCCAGCCACTCTCGCTCAAAAAGATAAATAGCTTCTTTATCACTTAGTTCATCTCTATCCCAGGCTTGAATGAATAAATATACATGATCATTTTTTTACAAATTAACTGGTAAATATGAGCATTGAAATTTAATTCATTTACATAATTTAATAATGACAATAGTATATTTTATAAACCTTTTTTAAATACATAAAAATATGTATTAAAGGAAAATATATAATTTCAAAAGCCTTACTTTTGCAGTTTTCTTTGTCATTAGTTGATATAATATAGTACAAATAAAAACCATAAATAAAAGGATGCTCTTTAGCTCTTGAAACATGGCAAATCAAATCTTTATCAATGAAACCCTGTTAAGATATACCAAGTCAGCAAATGTAAAAGAAAAATAGTACAAAAAATCACAATCTGTACTCAGTTTTCTAATTATATTTTTCATGTCAAAAGGTTCAGTTTTCATTTAATCAGATCAGTATTCAAAATCAAAGGCAAAAACAATAAATAAAATGATAAAAAATACAACAATTATAATAAAATGAATTTTGTGTATTTTTTCACTTTTAAAAGCCTTATTATAACAACAAACTGAAGCAATTATGCAAAATTATTATTATTATTTTGTAAAATTACCAATTTCCTTGTGTTTTGTCAAATGACTACAATCTTAAATATTATAAAAGCTTTCAATATACTGATATTAAATATAAGTTTATGGTTTCCCACTTATACATAATTGAAAAATTAGCTCTTAAATGGTTGGGAACCAAAATATTAAATTATGTTTTCCCCATTAATTACAGACAAAGAAGGGTACAAATACTTGTAGAAATGTTTTTTCAAATTATTATTCCACCAAATCAAATTTAGTCAAAAGTATATACTTGCTCTTTCTCTACTTCTCTTTTTTTGATGGGTTAAGGGAAAAAAAAATACCAGACTAATTATCTAAGGTTTTATGTTTATTAAACCTATTATGTTATTATTTTTTACCTTTATTGTTACTTCTACTTTTATCAGCTCCCATCAAAATACAAATTAGTTATGTAAAATATAAAAAAATCTGATGTGTACACCACATAACTTCCTTGTACGGAATATTAAATTATACACATTTTTTCTTGCATTTCGTTTAAACATATTGGATTTAATTAAATCTACTTCACGACGCGCATAACCACAATAGAATAAATGCATTTTTAAATTCACTCTATTTGTTTACCATAGCGACACTCTGGCACTAGGTTCACTAACAGTATTTATTTCGTTCATATTATAACTCGAGCACAAACTTTATTCATAAAGAATTATCTAATCGTGCCACAGTTTATTCAAATACTATAATAAAGCTAAAATGATGTATAAAAGAAATTAAGCAAACAACAAAAAAGAAACAGTTTTTCACAGACGATTCAGTATTTCCATTCAATTAGTCAGTTCTCAAAATACATAAAAACTCAAAATTCGTATTAAAAACTACTAATTATTAACAATTAATTACTAATTAAAAAAATTAAATCTTGAACACTTATTTCCTCGAAAAAATTGCAAAAAGGATTAGCAGATTTAAATCGCAATAATAAATGAAGGCGTTATCTTTGTTGTTGCGAACCTACATTTCTCTAGATTAGCAACAAATTCACTACTCTGCTGTTTCAAATGTAAACAAGAAATAGCCGCCATCAAAAAAAAAATTATTAGGCTTAGCGGTACTTAAACAACTTTTAAACTGTTGATAATTCTAAAAATATTACATACAGATTTACTAAAGGCATAAAAACCTTTAGTAAATCTGTACGTAATATTTTTAGCTGCATCTGTACGTAATATTTCTTGCTGCTAACCTAAATTTACCAATGAGATTTTTAACCAAATGAATCAGTTTAATCATCAATAACGGCAAATATCTCGTCCAGCTCCTTATATATTATAATATGTCAAAAAATAAAAAAACTATTTTTAATAGATATAGTTCATAAATAAAAATATTAACTCAGTTTGTCCTTAAATTTTTTCAATTTACTTTAATTTCATTTCAAATTCAAACTGTCTAACAAAAACTGGAGTCGGCATGTTTGTAGCGATTCCAACGCCGACTCTTTTTACCCAAAATTCTACCCAACTCCACAGCCCTGATAAAAGGAGTTGGAGTTGCTAGAAAAAAGTCACCTCCGACTCCAGTTTAGGTACGCAGCAACAGCAGTAAGAACTCGCAAAATTGATGCTATTCTTAGGAAGCGAGCAGGAAAAGGAGTTATTACTGATCGAGCAACATTATGGAGAAGTACATATTTGATGATACGATGGTTGTTAGAATTAAGAACTTTTTCAGAAGATGTAGATAACCCTAATGTTTCACTAACAGAAAAAATGTGAAATGATCTTGCAGAATTGTAAACTAACAACACCACATATAGCCACAAAAAAGCTACAATCTGAAGAATTAACAGGAGGCAAAAATTGAAGAATGCAATGTTTATTCTTTATGAAACAGAGGGTTTATTGCAGAAGGAATCATTTCTTCAATGAAGAAAAGAGAAACTAGTTTGCTAGACAATAAGATCTTGCTGGGTTCAATATATGAAGATCCAGAACACAGAATTTTGTTGGATGAGGAACAAATTAACCCTTTGAGGTCGTATGTCCACTATCAACCACCAAAGCCTTTTTATCATTCCGGTCGTATGTCTGCTCTCAGCCACCAAAGCCTTTTTACCGTTCCAGTCGATGTCTGCTCTCAGCCACCATACGGCAAGGAACTATACGAATCGTATACTGTATGCATTCACGTATCAGTTTACACTTTTCCTTATATGAACCTCAATGCCTAAAGAAACTATTCATTAACCAATATGGTGCTCCATCGATTGGAGATAGCATAATCTAATCTAAACCAAAGTTGTGACCCAGCACTCGCCATGTAAGACGCAGTAGGCGAGTCAGTCGTCTTTTTGAATGTAATGAAATTGACAATGCTCAACGATACCTTATAGAATTCCAAAGAATATTTTATAAATTGTATTTAACAGTAATTAGACATTCTCTCTTCTTAAAATATTCCAAAATAATTCCCCAAAATTCAGCTAGAAGAGAGAACAGGACATCTATGCCACATTTTATGTTCGTCCGAAAATTGGTGGCACAACTGGTAGGCGATTTTCATGATGGAGCAGATTCAAAACCAGGAAGACCATCGACCTCCAATAAGGAAGAAAGACTTCAAATGGGAAACTGCATATATTGCAGCATTGTAAAAATGTAAAAAGTAAAGATTGTAATGTATGTTCAAAAAGAAAGATTAAGGGTGCAAGGCCCCAAATCAATTATTTTTGCGATACATGCACTCGAAAACCTGGCCTGCATGCTGGAGTGTGTTTTGAAAAATATCACACGAAGGAGAATTATAAAACATAATTTTTATACAAAAACATATCACTAGATTAGTGTATTGAATAAAAATATATCTAAAGTTCATAAAAGAATTACTAAATCTTGTTTATCCATCGTAAACTTGCATTATGTATCCCTGCTCTATCGAAGGAAATTAATTCCGACCAGTACGATACCCATCTCCAAATTTAATCCGACCGCAAAGGGTTAAAAAAGGCAAAGAAAGCCATCTGTGAACCTTCATTAAGAATGAAATTATTCTCAGAACAAATTGGAGAATTTGAACCAGGACGCTCAAACTGCCAGACACTGCAATTGAGTCTCTATCATCTTCTTCCAAAGATGAATTAGATTTTGAGAAATATTTGGATAATATTGAAAAAGCTAAGGCAAAGCGAATGAAAATAAAGAATCTTTAGATATAAAAAATGGAAAAAAAAAAAAAATACAAACAAGATTTATACACGGCCTTTGAAGAAATAGAGAAATATGAATGCTCTTGCATGACAACTCTTTTAGAACTCATAAAAAATCTATCCTGAAAAGTTAAAGTAGCCTTTACAGTAACAGTTCTTCCTCCTACTCAAGTCAATGTGGAAAGTCTCTTCTCAGTTCTGAAGTTTATCAAATCGGATCTATGGTCCTCTAAAAGAAGATTTTGCCAAAGCTATACTGTTTCTTAGAAATAACTAATGCCAGTTTTTCCATTTCATAGCAAATGCTAATTAATATAAAAATTTGCTATGCATAAATTTTTTTTTCTGTTGCATCTATTAATTCTTTTATATTAAAAAATAAGTTGTAACCCATGTGTATATGTTTACATATTTACGAGGGAATCAGAGCCGAAGTCTTTAACATTCCATGTGTTGGAGGTTGGTCATTTTTCCTACTGACTCCAAAGCCCGGGTTAAATCTTCAAATATGGTGATGGCGTGTATAGTGTTAGTATCATGTGATTAGTGAAATATGAAAAGGTGTTTCAGGTATTTAAGTCACTTCTTCAGAAAAAATTCTGCAGCATTTTATAAATTTTTCAGAAATTTCAGTATTTGATTAATATGATTCAATATTCAAGATTGGTGTTCAAATTTGAGTTTTGTAAAAATTGACTATTGGTGCTTCAAAAAAAAATTTTTTTTGAACATTAGTGCAAATTCCTCGGGAAAAAGTAAAAATTAATAATGGAGACAAGATCCCATACTAAATCTACAGAAAAAATGTTGATAATTTTCAGTGTGCCATCTTTGATGTCTCTAATAATGATATTCCAATTGATAAATATGTTATTATTTTTTAAAAAATGTGATACTAAAAATATTGAAAATAAGGACAAACCATTAATATTCTCAGAGTGCCTGAGAGGAGAAGCACTCACATATTTCATTAGGGACTGTGCAGATGATAATTGGAAAACAGTAAAGGACAAATTTACTATATACTTTTCAACAGCAGAATCACGACACAGAAGAATTTAAATTTAATTGCACATATTTATTCAATTCAAATGGCAAATCATTATTCTTTTAGATTCTCCAAGATTATATATACGATAGTAATTTAAACTAAATAAGATTAACTTATTTGATAAGACAATAACACATTGAATTAAATTTTTGGCATGCCTCTCCAACAAATCAGCATGACTAATTTGCTGATACGGTTGGGTGGTGCTAAGTACAAAATATCAAAATTTAATGCATCATATATTTCAAACAAAGGAACACAGATGGGAAGAGTGGAAGCAAAGGTCTGATAGCAGTAGAAGGAGAAAGTGGTGTGATGAAAAATGGAGCGAACTCTACATTTATAGTAGTGGTTACATAACATGCCAGAATGTTCTCAAAAGTACTGGTCTAGGGAAAGATCCTGAAATCGTGGAAAGTTAATTAGAGGTTGCCTGTTCGCGCAGAGCAAAGCCATCATATTTTTTTTTATTTATTTATTATTTTTTTTATTTTAC